CTGAGAGGCTAAGTCTTCAGCAGCAGAGACATTGGCCACCCGGATGTCCCGAGCACAGTAGGTAGCCAGCTGCTGAATCATGAACTGGGCCTGCCGTGCCAACTCCTTTGTAGGAACAAGGACAAGGCCTCTCACAGCCTGTTCTATCACAGGACCTGTCTGTAAGAACGTGAATGAAAGACTTTAGCCAGCAGTGCATATTATTGTGTCCACATGATGCTTTTCTCTACTTCTTCCAGGCAATCTGACCTATCCACTGCAACACAACTTAGCTGATCAACCTCTCTGCCTGCCTTAAAATGTAGAGTGGAGGACTCTTTCCCTGGGCTCTGACTCACAAGAAAGAATAACTTACTCTATGGCTATGATGTTACAGTAGTGCCCCTTTTATCCGTGGTTTTGATTCCCGTGGTTTCAGTCAACAATGATTGGAAAACATTAAATGGAAAATTCCAGAAATAAATAATTCATAAGCTTTAAATTGTGCACAGTTCTAAGTAGTGATAAAATCTCTCCCTATCTGGCTCCTTCCTGCCCCAGACAGGAATCCATTGTACAGCCTATCCACGCTATATACATCCACTACCATAATAAAAAAACATAGTACATTTAGGGTTCTGTATTATTACCAGATTAGACATCCACTGGGGGTCTCTGAACTTATCCCCCAAGGATAAAAGGAGACTACCCTACTTAAAGTGTACTAATTATGGAGGCTAAATCTCACTCTAATTCTATAAGTAGAAAGGGAAGATGTGCCCCCTTTTTATAGAAGATTACTCAAGATTACACAAAGGCTGGTAATAGCAGGGCCCAGGTAAACATGAACTCCAGTCCAGAGCCACAACAGCACCAGCTTCTCCAAGGCCAGCCTGCATGGGGATGGGGACCAAGAGAAAACACTGCACAAACGGGAACCTCCCTTCCCAGCCTTTGGGGCCTGCCTCTTTCCTCTCCTCGGCCCTCCCGCTACCCACCGCCTTCCTGTGGAGCAGCAGCTGCAGCATCGGAATAGCATAAGCGGCCGTCTTCCCGGAGCCCGTGCGAGCCCGAGCCAGAAGGTCCTTCCCCTCCAGGGCCAGTGGAATGGCCTTTTCCTGGATCAGCGTAGGCCGCGACCAGCCCAGGTCGGTGACGGCCTAGGAGAAACGAGGAGCGTGGTTCAGGCGGCGCGGAGGACGGCGCACCCGTAAACCAGCTCCCCAGCTCTCCCCAGTACCTGCAAGAGCCGGGGATCCAGGCCCATGTGTTCGAAGCCCAACGCCTCTGGGTCCGCCATAGTCCTACTCCGTAGTGACAGCGCGCACGCGCGGCAGGGAAAATGAAGACGTCGCGGGGGCGGGCCAAAGCAACAACCAATCAGATTCGGAAGATCCGTCACTTCCCGGAAGTCCTGGATCCAAGGCTTCCGGTGTTTTGTCCGCGGTCTGCGGCTGCACAGTGTTCGGGTGTAACCGGATCTCCCCGCGGTTCCTCTGGATCTGCAGGGGGAACCGCTGCCGGGGCTGATGGAGGTTGGCAGGATCGGTTTCGCTCGGTTAGGGTTGGGGCCGGCGAGGCGGGGCAAATGAGAGCAAATGAAGCGGGGCGCACCAGCCTATTTTGGAGCCCGGGAGAGAGGCCGGGCGGAGGGGCACGGGCTGGAAGAATGAGCAGCACAGATCCATGGCAGCAGCTGCCTGAGACAGAGGAAGGAGGGTTGGTCTAAGGTTCCCATACCTGGCTGCTCATCAGTCATCTGCACAGCTTGATGACAGTTCTGTGGGTCTTAAGTCTGACATGGGTCTTCGGCTATAATCAAGGTGAGACCCAAGCCACTATGCTTGTCATAATATGTTACAGCAGCAATAGGAAACTAATACAGGCGGAGACTAAGAAACTTATCACTTTAAAAGTGGAAGAGGGAAACTAAAGAGAAGGTCAGAGTGGTGCCATGTGAAGACTCAACCCACCACTGCTGGCTTTGCAAATGGAGGAAGGGAGCCACAAGAATTACCAGACATGGGCTGGTGGGTTAGCTCAGTTGGTTAGAACGCAGCTCTGTAACACCAAGGTCAAGGGTTTGGTTCGTCACACTGGCCAGCCGCCAAAAGAAAGGAAAATAAAATTACCAGACGCTTGTGATTACATTAAGCCCACCCAGACGATCCAGAATAATCTCCATATTTTAAAGTCATCTGATTAGCAACTTTAATTTTCCTTTGCCATATTAGATAACATAGTCACTGGTTTCAGGGATTAGAATATGGACATTGTTGGGGGGCTATTACTCTGCCTACCATACCACTAAAAACAAATCTACTTAATCAGACTGGAGCTGAGTGTTGCCCAGGTTGATGAGCTTCCAGAGTGATCTTTGCATCTGGTCTGACATGGCCCAGCACCCGAGTACCAAGACTAGGTTCTGGCTGTTGTTAAATTGAGAACAGAATCCCTCATGCACAACAGGAAAAGTCAGGCTGGGACCAAATGATGAAGATGGGTACTGCCAGTCCCAGTGAGAGCTGGGGAACTGGGCTGAGATGATAGGGATATTAAGAATGGTCGCCCCTTGCCCCCAACCCACTTTTTTTTGTGGTAAGGAGACAGAAGGCTGTTTGGTAAGGACGTTGCAATCTAAGAAAGCAAAAATCTCAGAATGTAATCAAGAGTATAAGGGGGTGGTGGGATCACCAGAATTCTTTGGGTGTAGCCTATTGTTTTTTTAAAAAACTTTTTTAGGCCACAATGTATCTATGAATATGACACACCTGTATGGAAATGCTTATTCTCCCCACAGCCACCACTTGTTGGCCCATCCTCTGGCCATTCCAATTCCACCTGCTCCATCAGTGTAAACGTGTAATGCATACCCATCTTTGTCCTCACTCCACTCCACTACCCTCCCTATCAAAAATGAGCAAGAGGTGGGCCGGCCCGTGGCTCACTTGGGAGAGCGTGGTGCTAACAGCATCAAGTCAAGGGTTAAGATCCCCTTACCGGTCATCTTTAAAAAAAGAGCAAGGAGAAACTCAGGGCATACTGACCTACCTGCATAATTGAGATGTGCTCAATTGTGTCTTCTGCTGAGCAGACCTTATCTGTAGCTTCCTGTCCTCTCACAGCCCAGGCTCCAGTCTAGCTGCTACTGACTATATTTCTAGTAACAGCCACAGGACAGAAATGTGTCCCTTCCCAACATGTCACATATCCCCCAAGAGCCTCAGGCCAGAGGTCCACACATCTAATTAGTTCAAAGGCAATCTGATTTCCCATGTGTGGTTTTGTTTTTTTGGGGTTTTTTTAGCAGCTGGCTGGTACAGGGACCGAAACCTAGATGTTATACTACCATGCTCTGACCAACTGAGCTAACTGACCAGTCTCTCCCTGTTAATTCTAACCTGAAGAAAACTGTAAACTATTTCAAATATCTGAAGAATTTTGGCATTTTGTTTCACTGAACTGTTACACAGCCATCCAGAATTGGAAACATGAGGAATATGTAGAGTTTTTAATACCAAAATATTTAAATGAAAACTATAGAACTAAATTTCATGTATTTTTAAGGGTAAAAATAGGTACATATATGGAACAGCAGGTCATAAAGTAGCAAGAAGGGAAGAATTTAGTTCTGTAGGTCAGATACATTTAATAAATAATATTTCAAATAAACAATGTATAAAAAAATAAGAATGGGCAACTGATGGCATTAAGTTTTATACACAGGAAGTGCATGGAGGAATTTTAAGATCTGTTCAGATTTAGTTATTTATTTTCAAATTCACATTTCTGGGGGCTAAGAAGCTGGGTACTTAATATCCTCAGATGATTCCTTGCTGATGTGTTGTCTACTTTGTGAATGGTTGAGCAACCAAGCACCCTGTTCCCAAATACCCTAGGGGCTGGTCTGTCCAAGTCAGTCCTAGTACCACAAGTCCACACTGAAGTCCACTCCAAGTCATCACAGAGGCAGTCTAAGCCAGGAACCTTGCCTCCTTCCCTCTCTGCCTCCCCTCTGCCCACAGCCTCTTATTTCATCTCAAACACAGCTACTACAACACATTTTATTTCACTGGAAAAAATGTGTATAAAGAACCAAATCTGGTTCCCATGAAGAAAACATTTAACACAACTTAAATAAAAGTTAAGGGATGAGGGAGGGTAAGAGTGCACTGACCCATGCTAGCTCCGTCACTGCCTTACCTCTGACTCTGAGGCCCTATGGGATGGAAATCACAAATGTGTAAGAGAACTCTGATGGCCCTCTGATACAGCCATGAGCAGCTGTAACATCTGCCCACAGAACACTTAAATCCTGAGAGTTGCCATGGTAGCTATTAGAAATGTGTGAATAAACAATGCATACGCACTGCATTAGTGTTTTGAGCTAGTTACAGGCAGTAGCACTTCGATGAGGAAGGAAAATATATAATTTATCAAAAAATAGTTCTACTATAGAAAAACGTCTCAATCCTCCAGGGCCAAGACTGCCCCTTATTTACATTCACAAAGCCACTGAGTGAACCCAGGACTGACCATAGAGCAGGGGTCAGGGCCTCCTCCATGGGATATGCCACTCACCCACTGCATAAACAGTCAGAGAACAGAGGTGTCAGGCTGGCCGGTAAGCTCAGTTGGTTAGAACGCAGTGTTGCAACATTGAGGTCAAAGGTTTAGAATCCCACACTGGCCAGCCGCCAAAAAAAAAGAGCAGAGGTGAAGGAGAGATTTTTCTTTTGCTCATTTTGTATGAGAATAGAGGGGAATCACTGGAGGCAAGAGAAGCAAGACTTAATCCTGGGTAGCCCTAAGACAGATTTTGAAACTTGAACCAATGTCCTGCTTCCTTGAGAACCAGGGTTAATAAGTGGCTGATCTGAATGGTTTGCTGCCATGGAACCAATGTGACATTTTTTTTTTTTTCCCTCAAAATCCAGGTGGATAAGGGATAGGGTGGGGAAAGTACCAAATAATTGAGGTGAAAAGGACGAGAACCAGGGTTAATAAGTGGCTGATCTGAATGGTTTGCTGCCATGGAACCAATGTGACATATTTTTTTTTTTTTCCCCTCAAAATCCAGGTGGATAAGGGATAGGGTGGGGAAAGTACCAAATAATTGAGGTGAAAAGGACGGGTCATATGGAGAGGGCTCTATACCAGCTTCTTGGCCTCAAAGAAGCTCTTGAGGTGACGCATCTGCCAGATGCCAGTGAGGATGAGGATGACGGTCTGAGCAATCGACCACCACAGTACCCTCTGGTTGGTGCTCTCGCTGGTCAGACGGAAGCGCTCTTCACGATACTGCGTGGGGCAATGGACACAAGGTTAAAAGAGCAGGAAAAACAATCCCGGGCTGTTGTGAGGTTCCCCCCATGTGTGACTTCTCAACTCCAAGACCAAACACCTTCTGGAATAGCGCCTGTGAATGCTGCCACGGTCTCCCCGCTGAAATTGCCTCAAAGAAGGGGTGGTGCTGTCCCTCCGCAAGCATCTCTGTTAGGACTGAAATTATGTTCCTACCACTTCAAACAAGATCCAAGGAAAGCAGGTAGACAATGGTTATTACTAGACTGTGAACTGTCTTCACTTTATTTATTTACTTGGCAGCTGGCCAGTATGGAGATCTTCACTTTACTTTATAGAGCTTAAAAGTGACTATCTAAAGCAAAATGTGGTCTATTCATACAATGGAATATTATTCAGCCTTAAAAAGTAAATTCTTCCACATGCTACAATGTAAATAAACCTTGAGGACATTACGCTAAGTGAAATAAGCCAGTCACAAAAGAGTAAATACTGTATGATTCTACTCATATGTTACCTAGAGTAGTCAAATTCATAGAGACAGAAAGTAGAATGGGCTGGGGAAGAAGGGAATGGGGAATTGTTGTTTAATAGACACAGTTTTCAGTTTGGGAAGATGAAAAAGTTCTGGAGACAGATGGTGGTGAGGGTGGCACATTATGAATGCATTTAATACCCCAGAGCTGTACACTTAGAAGCAATCAAAATGGTAAGTATTTATGTTACGTGTATTTTACCACAATAAAAATTTTTGAAAAAAAAAACCACAATTATTAGACTGATACACTCCATTCCATTCTTTGAAGAGCTGATCTCCCAAGCAGGGAAGAACCCAAGCAGAAACTCCAAGTAGGAATAGTGGGCATAAAGGTCACTTTCATCTCCAAGTACAAGGAGACATGCTCTTACCCGCTGGTAGTCCTGCTCCTTCTGGATCTGCTCCACCTGATCGAGCAGCTGGCGGGCACGGAGCTGCAACTCCGTTAGCTTATCCTTAGCAGCGATCTCAGGATAGTTGTTGGCGTGCTCTCCGACCTGGATATTCAAGTGCACTCGCTACAAGGAAACACGGGGTATCTGAGTGATGGAGCCTTTAACCATCTGTCCAAGGCTATGAAACCCACTCTTGTCCCTGGCTGTGGGGCATAAGGGCAACATCTGTCTCCCCAATTCTGACTGTGCCACAGAGTGTCACAAATGATGGTGGCGACAAATCAATATTTAGAAACAAGTGAGAGATTCCAATCTGCGACCAAAGAGAAAATCCTCTTACCAGTTTGCCACCGGCGAAGAGAGCCATCCTGGTTGAGTTGGAGTGCAGACAGATCTGATGGTCACCGGGAGTGTGGGAAGTGAACGTGAAACGGCCCTCAGAGCCGTACTGCCGGGACAGCACCACCTGCAACGTGCGTCATGAAAGCCCCACCTCTGCTGCGACCTCTCCAAGTGCAAGCTCCTGTCTCCTATCTCAGGACCCAGGAAGCGCTTCACACCCCACGGGAGTTCCACTGAGGAACGCTCGATGCCAGCTAGAGCACTGCCAGCGGCGGCCCTACCTTGCCGTCGGGGTCCTTCACTTCTACGTGCATGCCCAGGCCAGGGGTCGAGGGTAGGAAGACCTCCTTCTGCTTATCCCACATCTGGGTGCGATAGTTGCCTGCAGGACAGACACACAGTCACTATCTGGCCCCGCGGGCCGCCTCTCCGCCCAGCGTCCTCACCCCACCGCCCCGTGCGACCCGCGGTGCTAGGTAGGGGCCTGGCGTCCTCGGCACCCTCAGGTCAGGTCTAGGAGGACGCCGCCGAGGGCCGGGCTGGGGACAAAGGGCCTCTCCACCCTCAGCCCGCCTGACCGATGACCATGGTCTCGTCGGGGATTTCCTCGATGAAGCAGCGTTTCTCGGTCTCGCCGATATGGAAGTAGAGCCCCCGGGTGCCCACTGTGCACAGCGCGAACAGCAGCAACGCCGCCGGCCCCATAGCAGGCAGTCGCCCGCCCCCGAAACCCGCCATCTCACCCCCCCGCGCGCATGCGCGAACCGGAGCACCGCCCTGCGCCGGTGCGCCACCCAAGACCCCCCTCCCGCAAGCGGTGGAGGAGGAGGTATCTGCGCAGTGACGCCCGCCCTCTGTCCCTCCCCTTCCGGTACGACATGCCGCCGCGCAGGCAAGCCTCTCCCTGCCCTCCCCCCCGCACGGCTTTGCGCCTGCGCGCTGCTCCCGCTATGCCTAGTGGGAAGGTAGAAGGGCCTGTGCAGTGGCACCTACCCCTCCGTTCCCGTACGTCGCCGCACGTCACCGCTTTGCGCCTGCGCAGTGACGCTCATCTGCGCCCAGCAGTGATTTGGGTCCCAGAGCGCTACCGGGACGCTGGAAGTTACTTGACAGTGGCGGCCTCGATGACCTGGAACGTGCCCGTGGGGGTCCCAGCGCCCCCCCTTGTCTGTCCTGTAAGAGCCTAGATGAGCCTGGACGACGCTCTGGGCTCTGAGTGCGCCCCGAGAGCCCCAGGCTACAGAGTTGCCGGTCCTCTAAGAAGCTGAAAGTTGATTTGGGGCTTGAAATCTCCTGATTTTTAAATATTAGCGTTTAGCTCAACTTTTTTTCCTGATGGGATGGACGACAGAGCCGCACTCAAGTGGACGGTTTGTAATATCTGTCCAAATCCAGTGGGAGACACTTTTCCAGATTTTAGTAACTTGACCTCCCTGTTTATTGTGGTTCACTCCCTTCTCTACATCTCTGCCTCATTCTCCTCCTTTCATTCTTCGAAAAAACTGGTGCAAGATGGCACTGAAAGTCTGGGCTAAGAAAATTAAGGAACAGACAGGTAGGAGGGTAACTTGGAATGAGTAGCGTCCTGGGGCGTGTTTACACACCTAGTTACAGCACACCCTTTTTGTGTACAGAGAGATGAAAAACAAACTAGAAAGATACTTATTGGGTATGAAATTAGAGCAAAGAAATATTAAAACTTCTTTTTTATTTTTATTTTTTTTTAAAGATGACCGGTAAGGGGATCTTAACCCTTGACTTGGTGTTGTCAGCACCACGCTCACCCAGTGAGCAAACTGGCCATCCCTATATGGGATCCGAACCCGTGGCCTTGGTGTTATCAGCACCGCACTCTCCCTAGTGAGCCACAGGCCGGCCCCCCGTTTTTAATTTTTGATTAAGAGAATTTCCAAACACGTGAAAGTAGAACAGTTACAATGAACTTACATACACTCATCACCTTCAACAACAAGCAGCTTTCTACCGTCCTTGTTTTGTTTATCCCTTTCTGCATTGTTTTTCTGAAGTGTGTTAAAGCAAATCATTTCATCCATAAATACTTAAATGTGTGTCTCTAAGAGATAAGGACTTTAAAAGATACCATTATCACACCGATCAAAATTTAAAATAATTCTTTAACATCATCGAATACCTAGTATGTGTGTTCAGTTTCCTCCTCCTATTGTCTCGATAAAACTTTTTACACAGATTGTTTACTCAGGGTCCAAACAAGGTCTACTTATTGCATTTCATTGACATATCTCTTAGGTCTATTTTAATATGTAACAATTCCCCTTATTCTGTTGTTGTTTATGCCATTTACTTATGGAAGAAACTGGGTCATTTGGCCAACAGAATTTCCACGTTCTGGGTTTTGCTGATTGTGTCTTCGTGTGTCATTTAACATGTTTCTCTGTCCCTGGTGTGTCTTGTAAACAGAGTTAAATATAGAGCCAGGGAGGGTGTACACTGCAACTCATGAATCTTCTTCAGGCCCTCACTTGCACAGACCCCTATACCTAATGTTATATTTGTAGTCTTGTCATTTTTTTCCTTAAAGGAGACCCTGATATATGTATAGTTTCAGGGCTGGAGGCTAGATTAGGTTCAGGTTTAATTTGAGGGTTTTGTTTTGTTTTATTGCAAGAACCCTTTGCAGCTGGCACTGTGTACTTTTATTGTGACACATCAGGAGACACACAATGTGTGGTTGTCTCCCTCTTAATAATGTTGGAATTCATTTCTCAGTTCAGGGGTTGTCAGCCTGATCTATCCATCATAAAGTTTACCATCAATCTTTCTTTTTTTTTTTTTAAAAAGATGACCGGTAAGGGGATCTTAACCCTTGACTTGGTGTTGTCAGCACCACGCTCAGCCAGTGAGCCAACCGGCCATCCCTATATGGGATCCGAACCCGGGGCCTTGGTGTTATCAGCACCGCACTCTCCCGAGTGAGCCACGGGCCGGCCCAGTCAATCTTTCTTCTAATAGTCTAGCAACCATTGATAATCATCAGAACAGTGGTTCTCAACGAGGGGCAGTTTTGCCCTATCCCACCCAGGCGAAATTTAGCAATATCGAGATATTTTGGGTTGTCAAAATTGGGCCGGCCCCGTGGCACACTTGGGAGAGTGCGGTGCTGGGAGCGCAGCGACGCTCCCGCCACGGGTTCGGATCCTATATAGTACTGGCCGGTGCACTCACTGGCTGAGCGCGGTGCGGATGACACCACACCAAGGGTTGTGATCCCCTTACCGGTCACGAAAAAGACAAAAAAAAAAAAAAATTGAGGGCTGCGGGCTGCTATGGGTTAAATATGCCCCCCAAAAGTTGATGCATTGGAAACTTGACACCCCCCCCATTGTAACAGTGTTAGAGGGTGGGAAATCCAGTTATGGTATTTTAAAGGTAGGGCCTTCTGTTAGAGCACAATCTTATGACACAGGTTCAGATCATACCAAAAAATAAAATAAAGGGGGGTCCTTTAAGAGGTGATTAGATAGTGAGGACTGTGCCCTTGTGAAAGAATTGATCCATTCAGGGAGTAATGGGCATGGTTCTGGTAGCTTTATAAGGAGAGTGAGTGAGAAGTTTAGTTTGCTTGCTCAGCCCTTTCTCGCCATGTGATACTGTGTTCTGAGAGTCACCACCAAGAACAAGGCCCTCTCCAGATGTGTTCCCTGGACCTTGGACTTCCCAGCCCCCAAAACTGTAAGAAATAAATTTTGGGGGCCGGCCCGTGGCTCACTCGGGAGAGTGTGGTGCTGATAACACCAAGGCCCCGGGTTCGGATCCCATATAGGGATGGCTGGTTAGCTCATTGGGTGAGCATGGTGCTGACAACACCAAGCTAAGGGTAGGTGATTTCTTATGCTCTCATGCCTCCTGCATAGGATTCTTCTACAAAGGTGAGAGATCCCTCATCTACTCTGGTTACTCTGAAATACAATCCATTCAGGAAAGCCAGGATATGTGTTTGATGCTCTCCCTTTATCTATCAATTTTTTTTTTCCTTTTTGTCTTTTTTACTGACCGGTAACGGGATTGCAACCCTCGGAGTTGCGCCCGCACTGCGCTCAGCCAGTGAGCAGGAAACGGTCTCCACATGGGATCCGAACCCTCGGCGGGAGCGCCGCCACACTCCCAAGTGGCGCACTCTCCAGTGCACCACCGGGCTGGCCCGAGCTCTTTCTCTTTGAGAAAGCTGCAGGGGAAGCATGGTCCCAGAGGAGAGACAGGTTTCAGCCATTGCAAAACCTGGGGAAATACTTGGAAAATAGAATGGAAACACAGATAGATAGATGCATTTATTTAGAAAATAACTATTGAGCACCTGTTATGTGTACGACAGTTTGGGCATTGAGATGCATCTGTAAATAAGACATAGTGAGGAATTTACATTACAGTGGTAGGCAACCAACAATAAATACCTAAGCAAATACAGACTCATATATTTCAAACAGTGAGATAGACTGTGCAGAAAAAAATAGAGATATAGATAAAGAGTGAAGGGCGTGTGGAGGAAGTAGGGATTTGTTTGTCACAAATCGTGTCCTCCAAAGGGAATAGAGAGTGCCGTGGGAGTTGTGTTGATGGTAAGCCTAGATAGATGTTATTGAATTAATGCTTGCTAGAATAAATTGCTTTACTGAATAGCAGATGGAGGAAAACACATTAGGGCTTGCAAATTATCGCCCTGGGACGTGTGATTTTGCAGAATAACTGCCAGGTTCTCATAGCAATTTGTTCCCATTGTGGCCCCCTGGTGGAGGCAATGGTCAGTGCAAGATCTTTCCTACCTGCTTGACCTCATGGCTAATGACAGACAATTGTAACCTCTGCCCATGAGCCCCAACAGGCCACAGAACCACTAGGAAGCAGAGCAGACACTTGCTGTGCGGGGCTGGAGTCAGCCTTGAAGCCTCTCCCAGGCACTTTGCACACAGCTCAGGAAGCCATGGCGTTCTTGGACTTAAGCAAAGGGAAGTGGCTAGCACTTCAGACACGACACTCATTGAGGTTCGGAGGAGACTTTTTTAGGACAAAGAAGAGGAAGTTTGACTTCACCAGAGGTTAGAAAACCTAAAAAATTTACATTCTTAATAGATCTCTAAATAAGGTTAGAGAAAGACAAGGAACAATAGCTAGGGGACAGAGCTGTAACTACCTGGCAATGAGAAATGAGGATATCGGGGAGGGTACTCTATTTCAGGTGGCCCCAAGAGCATCAGCCCTGGACTCCTCTGGTCCTCTCTGGTGCTCTGACGTTTCAGGGCATTGGAAATGCCACTCAGGCTCAGATGGGTGACCTCCTTGTCTGAGTTTTCTTTATCGTGAAGCCTACAGTTCTATCTTTCCTGATTCTCTCTTAACCTGTGCCTCTTCTTGAAATCATGAAGAGGATATATTTTTCTAGCTATAGTTACAGACTTCCCTTTTACAATGACCAAATTTAATTCATTATTGATTCATTTGTTCCCACTTTCTGAGCTCTTATCATGTTCAAGATACTACCGTAGAAAATAGGGACTTAAAGATAAAAATGTTATAATTTATAATCCAGCAGGGAGAACAGATAATTTTTCTGAATGACATTACAAAATAATGTAAATGTTGGTTTACTGTCTACTCCACACTCTCTCTTCTGGCCATCTCCAAAGCTTCCGTCATCACTTCTAGATCTTTATCTTTAGCACTATCTTCTCTCCTAGTTTCCAGGTTTCTAAGTCTAGCTGACAATTGGACACCTCCGT